CTCGGATTGCCGGAGCGCCGGTCTCGACCCGCGCCTACCGAAATGAAGCTGCCATTTGTGAGCTGTGAGTGACGAGCGTGTAAGTAGCATGAATGGTTTAGGGGGAAAAGGAAAAAAAAAAAAAAAAATGAGGGAAAAAGAAAAAGGAGAGAAAAGAAAAAGGAGAGAAAAGAAAAAGGAGAAAAAAGAAAAAGGAGAGAAAAGAAAAGGAGGGGGAAAAAAGGAGAAAAAGAAAAAGGAAGGAAAAAAGGAGAAAAAAAAGGAGAGAAAAAAAGGAGGAAAAAAAGAGAAAAACAGGAGGAAAAAAAGGAGAAAAAAGAGAAAAAAAGGTGGAAAAAAGAAAAAGGAGAGAAAAGAAAAAGGAGAGAAAAGAAAAAGGAGAAAAAAGAAAAAGGAGAGAAAAGAAAAGGAGGGGGAAAAAAGGAGAAAAAGAAAAAGGAAGGAAAAAAGGAGAAAAAAAAGGAGAGAAAAAAAGGAGGAAAAAAAGAGAAAAACAGGAGGAAAAAAAGGAGAAAAAAGAGAAAAAAAGGTGGAAAAAAAAGGAGAAAAAAAAAAAGGAAAATCAACTCTGGAGCAATTATAAGATGCTCCTGACAATTATTTTAGGAGCGGGTCTTAAAAGATTCAGTTAAGGAAGCTGCTCTTTCGCCTTGCTCAGTGGGATAACCTTCAGCCCTTTCTGAGTTATTATGTCCATAAAAATCATTTGACTCGGAGAAAAGTCTTACAAATTTATAAATTCAAATAAGTGTTCTTTCTAGACCCATCTTCCCGTCCTGAAGACCTCTTTGTAGCTTTGAAACCGATAGTTTGCCATGCGGAAAGGGTCTGCTAGTAACCAGTATAAAACTAATGCTGTGTTAAAATGCAGTATATAAATAAACTGCACATACATTAGTGGCAGCGTAAAATCACTACTCTCAGACGTGCCAACTTTCTGTGTGAGAGCGACAGACAGACGAAATAAAGGATGTGTTTACAAAATGGGCTTTGCTTTCTGAACGAGGGCTTCAGATTGGCTGATGAAAATCGGCGTATTCGGCGAAGTCACTTATTTGGAACGGTCCCCTACAAAAGCAGCACGATTTTAAAAATGGCACAAACACCAGAGTAAGCCCCGGAGCGATCAGGAGACCTCGTTTCACTGTAACTCGAGTCCTGTGCTTTCCTTTCCTTATTCCGTAGCCTATGCCAAACCTGCAGGATGTCTCAGGATGTCCAGAGATTTTCTATGCAAGTTCTGCTCATTGGGGGGGGAAAAAGGGTCATTGCAATTATGTAATGGCTCCCTCTAGCGTGCTAGAGGTACTGCTGCATTTGGGGTATATACCCCGCATGTGTGTGCCAAAGTGGGTACACATACTGTAACTCATTTCCTCTCCTAGGGAGCAGGAGAGCACCAGCAGGATAAAACAATAATTTCACCATTAAAATGGCATATACTATGTAACATATTTCTAACAATGTTTCTCATGATATACTTACGTTAAAAAAAAGCCACAAAAGCCAAGATTAATTTGACCTTTTTTTTTTTTTTTTTTTTGAGGAGGGTAGTGTCTCCATCACTTTTTTCTCCAGCCTTGTGAATGCCTTTCTTTTTTTTATATGACTCAGCATTACACAATAAATACTCTGACTCCACAATGAAGTCAATACATTTGAGGGCACTCTGCAGTTTGTAAAACAAGTACTCGGGACTTTGAATTAAGGGGAAAACTATATAACCCTTTATCCAAGTAACTGGAGTCTTTGCTTGTAAAATCTGCCTTTTTTATCAAACATCTTGCAGCTTACAACATCCCATTGATACCAACGACATGCATGGAATACTTAGAGGAAAAATAAAATCTGAACCACTAGCACTAGATCCTCAAACCTATGACTGACTACCAGGTGATTATCATAAATGAAACGCTTACCCTTTGCCCTACAAGTCACTGTGGTTTTTAGTGTTTACTTCAACAGAGTTACTTTTTAATATTCATTTTCAGGTATGGCTGGTTATTAGGAATTTCTAATGATTTATTGGAAATCATATTATCTTGACATCTTTAAAAATTGTGGCTCTTAAACTCAATAGAGACTTAGGTGCCTAACTGGAAAAAGCCAAATAAAAAATAATGCCTGCATATGAATATATGCCTCTGCCAGGCTGATGTTTGTTACATCAGACAGTTTATAACAACAAAATGGCATTTATTGATTTTAATCCACCTGTGCAAGTAATGAATATTTTATTTGTTCGATGATTTTACAGTATATCTAAAATGCTTTTTCTGACAAATTTGTAGTACACACTACATATTTGATAGCTTAGACTGGCATCAGAATTTTCTATACATTCATCAGGAAATTGCTTATTTTTCACACAGAAAAGTCAGAAATAAAATTCATGAAGGTAATATCAATGAGTGCCAATAATACTTGTATGCTGTGCCATGCCACTGTGTATTGAATACATAGTGTATATTTATTGTGAAAAAAAGTGAAACAAAATAAAAACAAAATTAAAAAATGTTTATTAACAGCTTGGTGAGAAAGCTGTACTGTGAAGAGGCTAATACGTAGACAAAATGCAAATCTTTAATAATAGGAATACACATGTAGAAGGCTTACACTATCTGACAGATAAGAAAAACACATTAAATACAGTGTATAGGAGAAGTTCAACAAAGGAGTAAAGTCCAATATAACAGCCCTAACAATAACCTATATATGGAGGGGTTAAATTATGCTGTGGAAAACTGGTTTTTGATACTTGAAATGTTTGTTTATTGGAAGCTGTAGTCTAACATCAACTAAAATAACAGATAGTAACAGGACACATCTCAAACCCAACTTTTTAAAAATGCTGATTAATCATGAACATACTACAACAGTATTCAGACTTTTGGGGGAAATCTTCATAACAAAACCTAGTGGTTTATTATTCTATCTTCAGCAAAGACAGGTAAAACTTTCTACTTTCAAAAAAAAAAGGGAATAAATAAGAAATATCCTCAATCAGAAGTGTTGAAATGAAAATCTTTAGTCTCAGCGTGGAGGGTACTTAAGTATAGCACAAAAGTCTCAGAACAAATATCCCTAAGCAAATAAAAGAAAATAGGAAGGCAAGGAAAAGATCAATATAGTTAAATGTCAAGGTTCAATATTTAAGTTACCTGAGCCTAAAATGTATCATTGGGAAAGCCCAAATCCAATCATCTTGAAAACAACAGAAAGAAGTAAAATTAGAAAGGCCAAGGAGGGAATTTGAGGAACAAAGAATCCATATATAAGAGAATGAGTTACCTGCTAAAAAACAATCATACGCTTTATCAATATGAGGAAGTCATGACAGAACTGGCGGGCCTACTAGTTGGCCAGCTATAAAAGGAAAAGTACTGCGGAGAAATTAAATTTGTCTACTCTAGTACTCATAGCAAATGAAGACATTTCCTCAGGTCTACTTTTTTTTTAGTGATAAAGATGAGATGTGGGTGTGTACTGAGGTGTCAACAGAGAGATTCTTAAAGAGCGAAAAGCATCTAACTAAATGGTAGTCATCAAGCACTCTTACAGAATCTGAAAATGAAGTAAATGAACTGTTAAAAATATGCAGTCATTAAGATCAGTTACTATGTGTGAGGATTAAAAGGTACAAAATCTGTTTGTCTTTTAAAAGGACTAAAAGGGTGATCAAGAAATTACGGTGTGGCAAGCTTTAATTTTAGTACAAGGAAAATTAGTTAAAATGGCTATTAAAAATCAAAATTATATGGCATCTAGAGAAATGTAAGAGAAGGACTGTCCAGAAACTCAATGAAATCAATAGAAACCTTTCCACTGATTTGATTCATCCCATAATAGCAAAGCAGTATAACTTACATAGATTAAAAGGACATTTCTCCTGTTTATTAGTATTGTTTCAAAGTAGCAACAGAACAATAGATAAAATTACTTTTTTCGTTTTGTACGTAAGCAGTTTTATGTCAATTTAAATGTGAGTCCACACCAGCAAGACATGCAGAAGAGAGGATAGTTGCTGAGAAAGGGAACAAGAAGTGACAGTGCTGTAGGTAAAGGCCAGAGAAGGTAAATGTCTGCAAACGATGTTAGGGGACTAATGGAGGGGCCGGAGCGAAGAAGAGAAATAGGAAGAGGGTGCTGAAGTGAAGCATAGGGCTATTTAAAAAGGCTTCAGGGAAAGGGAATTAGCAAGTAAGAGATAAGCCTGAGACTGTCACTGAAACAGTTGATACCTATGTCTTCTATCTAGCTGGGAAGTATTACATTTACAGTTGGACCTGTGTCATTTTGGAAACAAACAAACACACACAAAGATTCATTAGGCTTACAGAAAGGGTGACTTGTTAGGCCACAGATAAGTGGTTTATGACTTGGATTCTCATGCCTCTTTTCAGGCATGTTATCTAATGACTGTTTAGCACAGAATACAGAAACTTTTTTTTTTTTTTTTTTTTTTAATTCCAGTGAAAACAGGACACACTTTGAGATCAAACCCAGTGTGTTTCAAACAGACTAAGTAGAAGTTTCCTTAATGATTTAAAAAAAAGAAAGCAATTTATTTAAGAGCAATTGAACTAATGAAAACCAGTTTCCTACAAGTGTGTCTTTTAATTTTCCCACTGCCACTACTACCAGCTTCCTCCTGTGTCTTCAGTGATGGTTACCCTGCAGATGTGAGTGGCTGGCTGAGAGGGACGTGCTGCTGGGCCAGACAGCAGCTGCCTGGAAAAGTACAGTGGCTATTTTTCCTTCTCTCAGTTAGGAAACTTCTTTCAGTTGGACAATTTATGTCCAATACATACCCATCAACTGGAATGAAATTTAAATTATGATCACCTTTGAAAAGTCTATCCCACTTGCAAATTTGATTGAAATTGGCCAAAGCTGCTGCGCAGAATGACAGAGAGACACTCAGGTAATGGTCAAGTGGGCTGTTTGTTTAAAGCCTCCTTTAAAAAAAAACTAGAATATTAAAAAATTAAAACATTTTAGCCATTTTATTATAACATGATGCTAATTCTGGGGGTACGATATGGCACAGTAATATCATTGTATGATATGACTTGGCATGTTGTCATAATACATGCACTGATATTACTGGTGAGTTAGGAATACACTGTGTAAATATAGACCTTAGATTGTGTAACATAGCATAGAAAATATCTGCATTTTCAAATAAAGGATATGCTCTGAAGCATTTAGAAACTTTTCTGAAGCAAATATTTTACGGATTTTTCTTAAACCTGGCATTTTTTTATTTAATGGTAAATTGCATTAAAACCTATAATGTTCAGCAGTATGTTTTGTTTCACTGAATAATGATGAAAATGTTTTGTGAATTATTTGTGACAAGTGTGTTAGAGACTAGAGCACATACACCCTTTATTATTATAATGATTTAAATATTTGTCTAGAACTTTATAAACATCATTAAAATTCATTAAATACTTTGTTTAGTAGATGGTGGTTACTTTGTCTGCAGTTATTGCAGGTTAACGTCTCCTATGTCCTTTAAAGATTATGTGGCAGGACAGGACAGATGTTTGTCGTCTTGTTCCCCTCTGGGTGAGGCTGCACTCTGGAAAGGGGTGAGATTGTGCCTTCCCTGAGATTGCACAAGTGAAAAAAAATTACGGAAGTGCAGGAGAAAAAAGGAGAAGAAGGGTCAAAAAAAAAAAAAAAAAGACGAGAGTGAGCAGAAACTCCAGAAAGTGCTGAGAAAAACAGGGAACGGAACAGCTATTCAAGTATCAGAGGGGAAGGAAAGAAAATATTCTCTTGGGCTTGGGGAGGGGACGGTACATAATCCTCTGCAAACCTGCAGAGCTGCTAGACTGAGACCGTGCATGGATGAGCAGACCTGCCATGTCATGACGGCGCAAACCACAAGATGTTCATCTACACCTTTACTATTCTGTCTCACTTTGGATGTTTTATGAAGCTTTGTTTTGTAGCGAAATCTGATCTTTGGGGTTTAAAACTTTTCTGGGGGCACTGGTAGTGCTTGTTTTAAGGAAAAAGTAGAAGCAGATCCAGCTCAAAGATCTGGCTAAGTGACATACATTTTGCAGATAGAAGTACTGGTAGAGTAGCAATAGAGGACAAAGCTGGAGAAGCTGAAATTAAAGTAACATTTCAAGAAGACCATATCTGATGATACGAAAGGTCAGGAAAGTCAAAGAAAATGGGAATGCAGTCTGGGCCCTGACGAAAGTCTTGACAAATGTATTTCATGAGAGCAGTCTAAGGGCAAAGGCATGTGCTGCATGGAACTGTGAGAAAGATGCTCTACCAAATAGGTAGAGGTTTTAAGGTTATGCTCAGTGAGGTTGGGTATGGAACGAATCTTTTTCCTTCTCTTCATGAAAAAAAAGAAAGAAAAAGACTAAACAAACAAGATTACTGACCCACAAAGTATGAGGAAGCTGCTGGATATTTCTCATGTTTCTTAAGCAGGAATATCCCTAATAATATTAAGATATTATATTATTGT